AAGTGGATGTGTCGGGATATTGACCGGAGGAACTTGATGCCATTGACTGTGTACACATCGATCCCCAGGGTGACTTCTCTGTAGTTTTGTAGGATCTCCGCAGGAACCGGGTCAATATCTTCCCTCACGTGTGGTGCCTTCTTTCTCACCGTCTTTCCTTTTACTATGTTTGTGTTTACTCCGTAGATGTCCTCGGCCATCATCACGTCACGTCGTGCGACTGGGCAGTTAAGGATCAGGTTGTGGTCTATCATATGGAGGAACGCCTTTAGGCTTGGGAACCCAAGGGTCTCTTGTAGCTTTCGGGCAGTCTTGGCCCGTCGTATATCCAAGTCAGAATAGAACTCCTTTTGTCCCTTCACCGTGGTTACCGTTAGGAGCACACCACTCTGGTCGGTGAGATCACAGGCGTACAGACCGCATGGTGTGCGATCGAACCTTCGTGTGGTTCCGTCATGCTTGTGTACGAAGAAAGACTGTGCAATCGATGTGTCCAGTGTTACTCGGTGACTGTTGGATACCAGTCCAAGGGATAGCACATTGGCTATTCCTCCCTCCTGATACCACACGGAACCGAACCCAGGCAGGTCCCCTATCTTATCAACGAGCACGTTTCCGGCATTACAGTGGATGCGGATTCGTTCCCCAAGTGGATGCTTCCTGATGTTCTTTAGCAACTCTGGGTTGCATACACAGTTGCATGTGGCTTGGCTGTCGAGGAGTATCCAATTCTTGTTCACCTTCCCTTCACCCTGGGAGAGGAGGATGTGGTGCTGTTCATCCTTTCCCCCAGCCCAAGCTTTCATGCTGTCCACACTCCTGCGGTTTTCACCAGCATGGACCGCTGTCGGAGAGGATAGTGTTTCACTAAGGTGGACGAAACAGAGTTCATCGGTCTCCTCTTCTTCCTTCATGGCATTCATGAAGACCTGTGTTGCTTCTTGTACGGTCACTCCGCTGCCCGGCTCACTTTGTCCATTGGTGACAAAAGCAGTTGCTTCGGTTTCCTTGTCTTTTTGTCCCGGTCGGTCACGGTTTTGTTCGCGATTGCCGTACCGGTCAGTTCTGTTGTTGTTGTTGTTGTTGTTGTTGCTGTTGTTGTTGTTGTTGTTGTTGCTGCTGTTTCCACTCTGCCTGTTTCCCCCCAAGACTCTGTATTGGTTCAGGAGTTCCAGGGCCTTTGGTGGTGTGGTCGGATATGCATCAGTCCCCAAGCTGTAGTTGTCCTTGAGAACACTCCCTAGGTTTCTGTGGGCCCGGGGATGACAACC